AGAAAAAAATATCCGGACGTAATCATCTCATGCCTGCAAGTTTCCGCAGGAGGCCTTATTCTTATTGGCCGAGAGCAGAAAACGCCCACAAGCTGCGTACTTATATAATACTCTAGTGCTATGTGGAGTTCATTCATAGTTCCACTCCAGCCTAGTCATTCATTAACCCGATACGACGGGAGTGTCCTTACGGAGCGTGCGCTGATCGCAACTCTCGATCACTCGAGTGACCCGCTTTAAGCTCGCCCGCGCGTGTGCGTGCGGCTCGTCCTACGGCACGTGAGATCAAGAAGTACAAAGTAGTCAACAAGGTGAATTAACATCGAGCAAGGAAAATGCGGCTAGGTAAAAATGACGCATGATTATATTATGATCGCTTTCAAATGAACGAGAAACGGAACCTGTCTCATTAGAGTAAGCATTTTATACACAAAATAAAAATTGCATCTTATTTATAAAAATAATATTGAGTGCAATAAATAATATTTTTATCATTAAGATTATTTTTATTATAAACATTTATTTTTATTAAGATTTTTATAAAGATTTTTTTAACTATATTATTTTTTAATATATTTTATTTAATATATTTAATATATTTATAATATATTTAATATATTTAATATATATTAATATATTTATTAATATATTTATTTAATATATTTTATTTTTTAATATACATTGAAAAGTATCTTCAACACGATATCGTTCTTAAAGTTAATTAAAGAAGATAGTGTAATAAAATGCTTTCGTCTGATGATACGTGCATAATATTTACATGAATGAACAATTATTTTCTACATAACTCGTTTACCTATACCGATTATCATAATTGATAATTGCACGTTATCACTAGCTTTTGTTCTCTATATACAATATCGATGATAAAAGGATCCTATCAAGATAAAAGGAATTATAATCTACTAATTGTAAATAATAGCTTCTTTATAATGTTTTGTTTTTATTCAAATCGCAATACGTTGCATTTTTGCGATAACATGATTTCAGTGCAAATTGCACATTTTCCTCCACTAATAACGGCACTTCAGAAATAGCATTGCTAAAAAAAGTGTTTGTTTTTTTAATGGGAACGGGTGAATTTCACGGCTCATCCCGTATTAAACTGACGCAAATACGTCTGCAACAAATTGCTCACGCCATGATCGCTTCAGAGAGTGTTCGAAGCACGGCATTAATGTTGTCCAGTAGAAATCGATCTTTCGCCGATCCTTTATACTCGCATTGATTGTGAAAAGCGACAACATGAAAAGAAACGCGGCGCTTCATCTCGTTTTTCTCCGCAACAGGCTAGGGAACCTTGCAGTCATGAAATCAACCGACAACTATTCGAATGATTTTACACAAGAGAACTGTGTAATGTACTCATTCAACAGTGTTTCTCTGAGAACGCTCACTTTTCTTCTGTCGCGTCTACGCGTCGCCTATGGCGATCGGTGTATTTCACATGATCGTGATATGTAATTTCACTTTTGTCATTTTATGAAATAGTTTGCACGATATAACGTAATTATTTATCATAACAGACTAATAGATGAAGCTTTAATGATTGAATAATGACACGATAATAACACAATAAATAAACAAACTTCCACGTGCCATACTTATCTCCGTGAATCATTTTCTGGCGCCTGTACCATCTCGAGCTACCTGTCGACTATCGTCTTTATCGCGACGTGGGTAAATGCGAGTATGATTTCTGATGTTGCTCCTGACGTGGCATTCGCCATATTTATATGAACGCGCTACAAAGTATATGAGCAAAATACGCATACGCATAAATTTGAATCAAATTACTGATCAAATTTATCTTAATCTTATCGCATTGTAGGTCGAATAAATAAAGTGGCAATCGATATATCCACAGAGGCAGGAAGTAACGATTAAACAAAAAGGCCCCCTTGTATTGACACATAATCCTGCTTAGTCTTCTGTCAATATATTTACGAAACTGCACGTTGTAATTGTTAATATGTATGGAAAAAAATATATTAATTAATGAAGTTAACCTTATGTGCCATGATAGTTATTTTACATTACAATACAATTATAAAAGATATCAATCTTAAAATATATATAAATGTCTCTTAGGGAGTTAATGAAAAAAATTTCTTTCAATAAAAAAAGTAACAATTAAAAATAAAATCCATATATGGAATAATTTCTCGCAATATTCACACTCTTTCTTCGCACACATTTTTTACGTACATAAGCTTATGCCGACCAATCAAAATTAATAATCAACAATGAGATTTAACCAATCAGATCGAGAATTATTCTAAAGATGGTGGGACAGTATACAGAAAAAAAAATAATAAGTGAACCGAGCCAAGGACCAAGTAGCGCAACAGTGGAAGGCATTTCCGTTCTGCCGTACACAACACTAGCAAAAACTCGACATTACTATCGACAGTGGGATTAAGCTCGTACCTCATGTCGACAGATCGGCCGATTTCAAGAGTTAGCCGAGCGTAGCGAGAATTTTCCATTTTCTCCCATTAAAAGAAAAAAGGAGTGCGCCATTTGCTCGGAAATAGCCTGTAGCTTTATCGGTTATGAGTTACATAATGAAAACGTTAAAAATGTGTAATTTATACAGAAACCGAGAAACTCGGGGAAGACCCAACGGAATATTTCTCTGACGCCGTCGATTCTTATCGGAAAACTTTATAACGTCAATACAACCGTTTTCGATGCCGCTTCGATAAGGCGCGAAAATGTAAATGGGTATTTCAGACATTGAAATACGCGATAAAGATGACGAGATTCAGTATTTATACGTCTATGATAAAAATATAACAAGTTAACGAAATTAAAATTTAAATTAATAAAATGCATTAAATTTTAATACGCAATATATCGTAACAAATTAAAATTGTAAATGCATTAACAAATTTTAATTAGTTTTGATGTTTATTGCATGTATACTTTGCTCTCTCTTATCTGACGTTCTGGATCTTAAGTATAAATCATATACGTTACATATGCTAATTTATTAGGTTGAACTTTTCTTATTTTATGTCAAACATACCGTTTCACACGTGTACGTGCATACTAAAAGATATATAATATTCACAAATGTATCATTAGATATACATTTATAATTCTAATCTTGCGTGTTAGGTATCGTCGTTTGACTTTATTTCAGGTAAAACGCATTTCAAAGTCTCTTTTTCGCATGCAGACATCTTTTCATCCTCATAGGACGGATTACCGGTCAATTAACGACGTGACACTATAATTGGCGCGGTAATTCGATCCTCTTACGGCCGGATCCTCCGAGGAAGCCCGCGCATTTCTGGAGCCCGAGTTAAGCGACCGCGCGCACGTCGTTAAATTAAAATCCCGAGGCGTTCGCCGGCACCGACGTTGCCCGCAGCCACGAGACCATCCCGGCGCTGCCGTCTAATTTGTAGCGCATAATATTCGAATAATTTGCACGCGTTAATGGAACCGGCCGTGGGTTCCTCGCCGGCTACGACGCGCGGAATCACCTTGCAAATATTTGCCTGCAATAAAAGTGATCCGACCCAATAGGTGTCGGACAGAATCACCGGAAATCGTGGCAAGAAAACACGAATGCGATATCTTAACGCGTATCTCTCGGTATTTAAAATGTTGTTGTTGTGTGCGTAGTTTTTTATTTATAACACTTTATGCAATACTGCTATAATTCAATCGATGAGATTGAAATCGATCATCTAATCGCGAATATATCTTATCGATGACGTATCAATGTGACTCTTTGCTTCTCTCTCATCCTTAGCAACAGAATAAAAATATACACGTCTCGCGCGATATCTTTCGACCGGATGTTATTTGCACTTTTAGTAAAGCCTATTTTTATAAAATTAATTTGAGACTCTATGAATAATTTTAACAATAACATCTCGTGTCTGGACCAAAATACAACATATATGCAGGTTTATAATAAACTTTTATAATAAACTTTATTATAAACTACGTGCATCAGATTTATATGTATGACATATTTTAATCTCAACATGATCAAATTATCTTGTTTGAATAATGAGAGAGAAAGACAGAGGGATATAAAGTTAAATATAAACACCGACTAGACAGACTGTATATTAAGCATTTTAGCAGACACATATACGTAACAAGTCTTAGTCATCAATTTTGTGTCAAGAATATACACCTTCTTCGCGAACACTGATTTATGAGCCACGTGCCCGACACAGAAACTTACTTTCCCGGTTTCCACATATATTGATGTGGTTATTTCCCTAAATGACTACATCTTCATTTGAATAACGTTAGGTGACAATGCCTTCGACAAATTTAAAACAATATCATTCAATAAATGAAGATTTTGATATTATCAAAAATTTTATGCAACAAAATTTTTAAGTAATTCAGATGCAATTATTTAATCATTTTGACATTTCAATTTTTAATTTGTTTTATTTGTACAATCAATTGTAATCAATGCATCTTGCCGAAAAATCATGCCTCGAGATTATTTATCTTCGTTTCAATCGTCTATATATATATATATATATATATATATATATATATATATATATACATTGTAGCTAATTATTTTGATGCTTGATTAAAATTAATACCTCTTACATAAGATAATTCCTTAAAAATGTGCATTGTAGTTGTCGATTGTATGATACAACTTTTAGTAATCGCCTCGAAATATCTATCTCAGGGACCGCAAAACTATCGATGAATCTAATAACGTTTCGTTCGTGCAATGAAATCGTGGCCCGCGGGGGTCCAATGCATAGCTCGTCGGTACAGTATGTCTCCCCACGCGGAGATCGCGCAACAAGGGTGGCGTGCGTGCAGGTGGGAGGACAGGGAGGACGTACTGACAAGCCGAGGACTACGGTGGGACTACGGAAGGGGGCTGGAGGCAGTGGCAAGAGGGAGAGAGGTGGAACCGAGTGCCGGTGAGCGTGCGAGAGCGAGAGGACGAGGTGAATAGTGAGTCCGTGAGCTCGAGTGAGTAACTGGAAGTCGCAACCGGGGGACCCACTCAGTCACCACGAGATCGGCAAGCCGAATGGTCTACCGCGCCGGTGGTTCTTCTGGAGAGTTTGCAAAGAGTCACTGGGAGCTCCAACAGGGCAATTCTAGATTAGACGCACACTGTCCTGCGAATGTCAACGGGCAGGACCATCCGCAGCTACCAGGATCTTACCGTGACGCAGGTGAACAGCCGATCGCGTTACGTCAATTGCATCCTGACGGAAAGCAAGCCGATCGAGTACGAAACTTATCTCGCGGAAACTCTGACAATGTGGAGATTTCTAGTGCGCTGTTATGTCACTTTGACATCCATCTGACGCACAATAACTTCGGTGCATTTCTCGCGATTTGGACTCCTGGGTGTCCCGAAGATTCCGATATCTTCGCGTGACAGTTCGTCGCCCGGCGACGGTGGACGATAACGAACAATAACAGCATCATTTTCGGAGCAATTCCAATCACCGATTCGTGGAGGGATCGCGAGTGCGCAAGTGGATGCGGAATCAATCATCCGGAGCAGCCGAGGACTTTCCTGCAGGAGGACGAGGAAGAGATGATCTTCGATCTGCTGGTGGCCGGAGCCTTCGCCCTCGCCACACTAAGGCGGTGTGTGTACATTGTTGAATTCTATCCACTTTCTCTAATGCGCATATATATATATTTTGCTTTCGCATCGTCTCGCGGAGATGAGGTATTGGCCGCGCGCAAACATTTGCCAACAACAGACGAAAATTTCGCGGATATTACACTGCGTTGGCGCGTGTCGTTCCTCCTCGCCGACATACATTATAGCGTTACTTCGCTTCTGGCATTGACGTCTCCGCGAGATCGCATCGCGCAGAAGAATGAAAATCGCTACGCATTTCTGTCACGGCAAGTTCGCAGAACTAAATGAAAGAAAACGATCGCAAGACCGACGACGAGTTTTACTGAAACATGTATAATGATGCAATGACACGTGAAGAATCCGCGACGTTTAAGATACCGTTTTTCTTAATTCGCTCGATGCGCTGTTTTTATCGTCTTTATCGATTGCGCTCAACAGGGGTTAGTGATCTGGAGAAGGTTGGGAAAGAAAAAGATAATCGAGCCGCGTTTTATAGCGAGCACAGAAAACAATTAAACGCGAACGCGTATCTATAATTTGCCTTATTAACATGTAGTTATTTAAATTTACGATATATATAGTTTTCCATTCGCTTTGCATTCGTATGCTTTTTTATAATTAAAAATGCATGTCTCTTCGGAATCTTTCTTGAATTGATTCTGAAGAAATGTTCAACACGTTATAAATATATTGTTTTTTCGCTTCATTCAGCATTAATTTTGTCAGAAAATATTTATCTCAATCATTCTTCCCATAATGCTTAAAGGAAAAAAATACAAGGCTGTTTCTTTATATTATTACGGTTAATAATTGTTAATTATGTACATTTCAGTAATTTAGTTAAATATGTGCAAGTTCTTAATTTCATTCGTCTATTAAAATTTATCCATCTATTGTCAACAGCAGCTCTTAATTAAAATTTGTGTTAATTATATTTATACGAGGTACTAAAAACCTCGTGATATTATTAACATTATTAATTATTATAAGAAATCTGATCTATATATTTTTAACATCATTCAAAGATATGCATAATTTTCATAGATAATTTCTGTGCCATATAAATTTACAATACATTTTCAATAAATATAAAACAAAATACTATACATTGCATAGTTTCAAAACATTAATTACATATTAATTAATGTTAGCAATACAAATAATTTTGTTTGCTTTTAAATTACAATCTTAAAAAGAGTAGATAAATATGAAAATATTTCTGAAAAGAAATAAAAATTAGTCAACAGCAATTGTGCATGAACTTTTGTAGTAATCCAATCCAAAGCTTAAGCGATGAATACGTTTAAGCTTTACTTTCTTGCGATAACAATGCAAACATTTCTCACATAAGACTGAAAGACTGATAACTGAAAGATTAATAGTGTCATTGTTTGCGGAACTGATATAACATTCGTGCAACATATATTTTATTTTATTTTATTCGTAATCATAATATATATAGTGTTCATTCTCAGAAAATTTTTATATATTAATATTTATTTATTTTTATATTACTTATTTATAATTAATAAGAAATTGTGTTTTTATTAATTATCTTTTTATATCAATTATTTTGACTTTGCAGTTATGATTTCATACGCGGTTAAAAAATTCTTGTTTCGCTAATTAATGACTAAGCATTGAAATGAGTCAGTACATGAGATTAAGTTGCCAATGTGTTTATTTGGCTTCAGTCAGTCCGGGCTCAAGAAAATAGATATCAATAGTTTAATTCATGACTTTTATCTATATCGTTAGCATATTTAGTATAAATGAATTTTTATTACAAGAATGTAATACAAAATTTTATAAATGATACAATATAATACTGCTAATATATCGATTATAATTAAACATTTTTATATGTAATTGATGATATGAATGTGATATAGATTTTCCACTTATACAAAAGCGAAATTGAGCGAATAATTAATTAATTATTTATTTCATTTGGCATAAATATATTTGTTGATAAAAGTTTCAAGAATTTACATCATTGGTTACTTCCATTATATATCTTCAATTTTACCTCTTGATACACATTGATATTAACCGCAATGAATAATTTATATTTAGTCATATCTATTTATTTCTATTTTCTGCGGATTAAAAGCGGTTCTCCTAACCGCGATAGCCCGTTGTTCCGCGTCACTGTCACCTCCGAACTAGTCTTACTCATTGCTATCTATTTAATCTCTCATATTTATTTAGAGAGTTTCAATTCACCATAAATAATTGTTTAAATTAATTCGTAATTAATTTCCTATAATCAACCATACGTTTCAACAATAACTTGTAATGTATAACTAAAGTTAAAAGTAGAATTTACTACTACATTCATATCGACCAGCCATATCAGTATATGAGATAAGAAAAATATGAGTAAATGATTTATTATTTTTGAATCATTTAAGATTCAAATATCGTTGTTAAATAATCTCAGTACTTAGAGACATTGATCTGAAGTACAAATAATAGTATACAAATCCGTAATGGAATCGTATTCTTATACAATAAAACTTCGAAGGGTAATTCTAACTCCGGAATGACAAATTTAAATTCGTCACCGAAAGCTGTCTGTTCTCCACCTCCGCGTTCCCCACCATCCTCTAGAAGGTACAGCCGCCGATAGAGACGCGCGTCGTGTTGATACGAGACACACACGGACTGTTTGCTCGGGTACCATCGCGGACCCCTTTTTTTCATGTAGACTCCGCGGACTCGAGTCACAACACTAGTAAAGTTACAAAAGCCGAAGGCAAACAGATCCGGGGACGGGCCTTAACCGGTTTATTAAACACTCGTGCGCGCCCCGGAGGTGGTCCCCATCGTTGCTGAAAGTGACGACGATGCGGACCAGCGGACGAGGACGGTGTCGAGCGGCGTCGACGCCACTTGGTCGTCTTCCGGAGTCCAGGTCTGTACGTCGCGCGTCTTTCATACGGTATCCTCCTCGCAGAAAGGAAATTGACTACTTTCGTACGTACAAAAGCAATTCCTCAGAGGTGGGAAAGAACGAAGGAGGAGTCAAACAACTCTCAGGCAAACCTTTCTCTCTTTTGTCGAACCGAGCCGCCGACTTTAAATTCTGGCAATTCCATGATTTCTATTTTGGAAACTTTCGGCTCTCATAGTCATTATGATGTATTAATTCCATCGACTTCAATGTTTTCTTCATTTCGATCACTGAAGACGCGGAAATGATTGATGCATTTTTTCGTTACCATCTAAATAATTATTATTTCCTGAATGATATATAATATTTTGTTTTTATTTTAAACCAATATTTTTGGCGGCATCCTATACAACACGAAGTTTTGACACGAGTTACATCGTGAAATTTTTGTACGTCCCTTAGTGTCACCCGAGTGACTTACGTCCTGCAATGGAAATAAAAGAAAAGTAAGGTCCCGAGAGCGACTTGGACGCGTACTGGGTTGTGGTTTTGGGTTCAGCAGGGTTCACTGGACATATTATGGGACAGACGAGCACTCCAGCGTGAAATGAAAATATTATGCCAGCGCTCAGACCGCGCGTGACACATCGAAGAATTACTATATGCATATAAAAGTTGAAGATTCACCGTATATCTCGCAATGGAATGATTTTTCTGCCGTGAATTGTCTCTTACGAAAAGATCACGCTGACTTTCAGTTAATTGACGCCTGCTATTAAGATCCGGTCTTAGATAGAAATCAAACAATAGAGTAATATTTCTCTCTATAACATTAGATGTTGACTTAACATCTTGATTTATAACCTTGGTCTTCCTTTATTTCTCCATTAAGATTAAATAGTAATGATTGTATCGATTAAAATTTTGCAAGTTTCTACTAAGTTTCTACTAGAGTATTTAATTATATAAAAAGAAAAAGATAAAAAGAGAGGGAAAATAGTTAGATTTTTTGCTATTTATTATATTATTTCTAATTTTCAATTTCGAATTATATTTGGCTTTTGAAATTAGATTAAGATTGATTTAAAATTCTTTTAATTATAATATAAAATAAGCATTATCTATGAGATGATAGCAGCTAGCTTGCATTTAATGATGAGATACCACGTCAACGATGAAGCATCGAATGATCTAAGGTCTCGGGGTTACTTTTTGTGGCAATTTGTTAATCGTACTTAGTTACAACTGAAGAAGCGACACCAAACATGGCAAGTAAAGACGCGAAAAGAAAAAAGAGAAACAAGGAAAGACAGTTTACGAATAAATCAAGCCGAAAATAAAACTTTAATTTTTTGATAGACTAATTCTCTTGTTCGATTACTATCTGCTAATTAGATTCGATTTCGTTCTCAGACATTGGTGCACAATATATCATACGCGAAATTACGATTCTAGAACGAGATCTCTTATTTATGATTTATAAATAATTCGCGCGATTAAATCGATCACGAAGGGAAAGTTTTACGAATGTTCCAATAACACTTTCATACGACGTTTCTGATTCCTCGTACATTTATTTATGCTGATTCGTACAATGTCACAAAAAACATGGGAATGTATTTTCTTGTTTCTGTAAAAAAGAGCCTGAGAAAAAAAGTGCACGTAGAGACGTTTCGCGCAGCAAACATTAAAGTGGACGATTATATATTGTGATGTGAGCGGAAGAAATAATACTTAATGAGTCTAATCATCGACAAATAATGCGTGTTAGTCGAAAGCCTAATGCATTGAAGTAAAAATTCATATACCTAACTTTATGTGCAGCAGAGCTAATTATGCACATGATATAATAAAATGTAAAGGATATCCTTGAGTCGTCTTGTTGTATAATTGTATAAGATAAAAAATACGTACGTAAAATATTTCTTCGTCTATCTTGCAAAGTTACAATATTAAGTACATTAAATATCCAATGTTTGCATAAATATCTGCGGCATGAAAACGATGATAAGTAAAATCCTTTACGGTAGTAGATTTTAGAAACATGATGATTTAACTACACTATTCATTCATTTAACGTAATCTGCTTTTACCTACCATTTAAG